TTTAGGGTTTAGGGTTTAGGGTTTAGGGTTTAGGGTTTAGGGTTTAGGGTTTAGGGTTTACGTGCAGGATGGCGCAGCCCTTTGTCTCGCGTTTGCCTCTGATTGAAGGCCACGGTAATTTCGGCTCTGTCGATGGAGACCCCGCAGCTGCAATGAGATATACAGAATGCAGGCTTTCTGAGTTCTGGTATGCGAGGGTTTAGGGTTTAGGGTTTAGGGTTTAGGGTTTAGGGTTTAGGGTTTGGTGGTGTTTGTATCATCATAGGACTGGTTTTTTCTTTTCTTTGTTTTTGAATTTAGTTTTTTTATTTGCTGTGTTTATATTAGCCCTAATATATATATTAACCCTAAAGGGTTTAGGGTTTAGGGTTTAGGGTTTAGGGTTTATGTGCTTTCAGTCAGGATGTGCTGCTAAAGGATCTGCACACAGCCGCCTGCAGTTATCGAGCCAACTTCGATGCCACTGAGGTGTATAGGGAGCTTACCCTAAACCCTAAACCCTAAACCCTAGCGAGCAGATACCCCTTGGGTGAAGGAAACCTCCATCCTAAACTCTATTAGCACCTGCCACGCCCCCAGTCGAGCAGGTTAAACAGGGTTTAGGGTTTAGGGTTTAGGGTTTAGGGTTTATGTGCATGCAGGTAGAGCCTACATGTCTGCCTGCGCGGCTTCCTCTGCTGCTGCTGCAAGGGACCTCCGGGGTTGCAGTTGGGCTGTCTACGCATCTGCCACCCCACAACCTCAATGAAATTCTCGACGCATGCATCGCCCTTATTGAGTAGGGTTTAGGGTTTAGGGTTTAGGGTTTAGGGTTTTGGGTTTGATGCTGGGCGATTAGGGTTCGGGATTAGGGCTGCGGGTTTAGGGTTTAGGGTTTAGGGTTTTAGGCTTCAGGGATTAGGGTTTACGGCATAGGACTTGGGCTTTTGAATTTAGGGCTTAGGGTTTAGGGTTTAGCTTTGGGGATTCAAGGGGCTGCAGGGGTCCATGTGAGACTGTCAAGGGTTTAGGGTTTAGGGTTTAGGGTTTGCCCGATTGCTACGTGGCGTGGCGAACCTGCATTTCTGCTATGCTGCTGCTGCTATTGTTGCTGCTATTGCTGCTGTTGCTGTTGCTGCTGCTGCTGCTGCTGCTGCTGCAGCAATCCTCGCCTATCGGACTCTTCTCTCTATCGTTTGCTTCCCGGTCCAGACTTCCCGACAGGGGGGGTTTTGCTGCTGCGAGATGCGCAGCAAGCAGCAGGGTATAGGAAAGGGTTTGGGTCTCTAAGGCTGAGAGCTAGGGCTCATCTACAAGAGGAGACTTCTGCTGCTGCTGCTGCTGCTGCTGGAAGGAGACAGAGAGGAGACAGCAGCCGCAGGCAAATCGTCGTCACTGAACTCCCCTATGGAGTTAATAAGGTGTGCAGGGTTTAGGGTTTAGGGTTTAGGGTTTGTGGTTTAGGGTTTGGGGTTGTACATGTATGTGAACAATGCAACAGAAGATCCCCTCGAGGGTTTTAGAAGCCAGGGTTTAGGGTTTAGGGTTTAGGGTTAGTCTGCGGCTCTGTCTCATCTCTCTTCTGGCTGCTATTTGTCTCCTGCAGCAGCTTCTTCGTCTCTGCTGCAGCAGCAACTGTCCCTTTTCTTCTCTCCGCTGCAGCAGCAACTGTCTCCTCATTTGCTTCTGCTGCAGCAGCAACTGTCTCCTTTTTTGTCTCTGCTGCAGAGCGACCTCGTGCGGCATGCCACACAACTGGCTGCAGACGGTCTCTTGCCTGGCGTCTCAAGTGCGAAGGCCCTCTAAACCCTAAACCCTAAACCCTAAACCCTTGGAGGTGTAGCTCTAGGATCCGGGGCAATGGTCTCCGCTTTAGGCTCCAAGCCCCCGTGCCCACCGTCTAGGGTTTAGAGTTTAGGGTTTAGGGTTAGGTGAATAGTATTTAGGGTTTAGGGTTCAGGGTTTATAGCTTAGTGTTTAGGGTTTACTCTCTCCTGTTTGTGGTTTCTCCCAACGCGCCAACTAGAGTTTAGGGTTTAGGGTTTAGGGTTTAGGGTTTGCGTTTCAGGGGTACGAGACGAGAGCGACTATTCAGGTGTACGTGTGGTATTTGAACTGGAGGCTGAGGTGTCTCCGCAGCAGGCCTGGAGTTATTTATTGTCTCGCACAGCACTTGAGGTGTCTGTACACTGCAATTTAGTTGCTTTAAAGGAAGGAAAACACCCCCAAAGGATGTCCATCAGGTCAAACCCTAAACCCTAAACCCTAAACCCTAAAGGCTGTTCTGCAGAGGGCGTGCGGGTGATGTTAAGAGCATTGCAGCTGTCTCTGAGGCGCAAGCGACGACCAGCACGACAGTTAGGGTTTAGAGTTTAGGATGTAGGGTTTAGGGTTTAGGGTCTAGGGTTTAGGGTTTAGGGTTTAGGGTTTGGGGTGTACGTGCACCTCAGGGAGGTGATAGAGAACTGGATTCAATTTCGATTGACCGCTGTGAAGGCCCGCCTTAGCGAGCAGCTGGAGCAGCTGCAGCAGCAGCAAGAGAAGCTAGAAGCAGCAGTGAAAGCAGCAAAATACTCTCGTGAAGTAGCAGAGCTGCTGCAGCGCAGCAGAGATGCAGCAGAAGCCATCAAGGAGATGCAAGGTGAGGGCTTTGCATGCATGAATACTGTCTCCTTTTTCTGATTTTTAAATCTCTTTTCTGTCTCCTTTTAATATTCTTTTGTCTCTCTTCTTCTGTCTCCTTTTTATATTTTTCAGGGCCCCCGTTTCTGCTGACAGAGGGACAGGCGGCGTCTCTGCTGCGGATGCGTCTGTCGAGTTTGCTGCAGCTGGAGCAGCAGCAGCAGCAGCAGCAGCTGCAGCAGGTGCAGCAGCAGCAGCAGCACGTGCAACAATTGCTGCAGGAGCCGCAGCAAATGCTGCAGTTAATAAAAAAAGAATTACAAGAGATAAAAAATAAATACTCATGTCCTCGACGCACTCTCTTTTTATTAAACAAAACTCAAAAAGGAGACAGTTTATCTGCTTTGGCTGCACTGACGCACTTAGAAAGAGAAGAAGAAACTCAAAAAGAGACAGGAGACACCACAAGGTCAGCAGACACCCCAAATGCTGCATGCGCATATATATATATATATGTACATATAAATATATATATATATAATATATATAATATACATATAATATATATGTCTTCTTTTTCTGTTTTTTATTCTTTATAAAGTGAATTGTATATATTATATTATATTATACGTTATATATTTTATATTATATATTATATGTTATCTATTGTATATTTTATATATTATATATGCTATATTGTATATTATATACTATATATATTACATATATAATATTATATATTTTTATATATTTTATATTATATTAACGATGCTGTATATATATATATATTATATTATATTTTATGTATTTAATATTATGCAAGCGAAGCGAAAGTGAAGAGGACAGCGGGGCCCGCAGGGAACCCAATTATGCTGCTGCTGACATTGCTGCTGCTGCTGCTGCTGCTGCTGCTAATGTTCCTGCTGCTGCTGCTGCTGCTGCTGCTGCTGTTGCTGTTGCTGCT